CTAGCTGCAATTTGGGGATCACAAAAGGATAAAGTTGGCTAGCTTTCACATTTGGAAAAAAAAAAAAAAAAAAAAAAAAGAGAGAAACAGTTTTCTGTCAGGGCACCTTGAAGAGGTGTTGAAAAGTGCAGAAGCAGTGATTTCTAAAAGCATCTGTCACTCTAACTCTCTCTTTCTCACCCAGCACAGGAACACCCAAATTCCTCCCTGATTTTAACAGTATCCGTCCTAAATGACTCCTAGAGGGCACCTGGAGCAAGCAAGCTCTTGAATGGCAATCTGATTTCATCCTCACAGCTATTGTTCAAGGGAGGAGAAATGCCTTTCAGTAAAAAGACAAGCAACAGGCAATTCATAAGCTACCCAAATGTTAAAGCAACTACGTAACAGGTTATTACCACGCAACAGAAACGTCCAGGGCTCTCAAATAAAAAGTAGAGATAGGTCACTGCTCTAAACATGCTACAAATCTTGGAGTTGCAAATGAAAATAAACAGCAGTATGAATTGTAAAAGTAGGGTTCACAACCCAAACCACAATAGTACAATTTGCATCATGTAATGAAGTCTGCAGTTGCATTTCCCTCCTCTTTGAAAGAAGGGAGGGTAAGTTCATTCAGAGACAGAAGACCCCAAAGGCTTAAGGTAGGGACTCAAATGAGCCATCGCCCAGAAAATGCAAGTTATAGTAGAGGGCACCTAAAAGAGCACAGAGTAAGTGAGGGCAAATCATGAGGCGGCAAGCAAAAATTAGACAGGGTGCCTGACCTGCTGTAAGAAGTACGATTCACTCAAGATAAATCAGAGGTGACTCTTGCTTAATATAGGGTGCCTGTCTCTGAAGCATCTAAGGCAAATCCCTCAGTGTGCTGATATTTAAACAGCTGACTGGTTTAGCTGCGCATGACTAAGGAAGTCTATACAGATTTATTTCCTACACACTAGCAACCTCTTGCTCTCTGACTCAATAAGTGAAAAGCTAGGCACATTAGAAATCATTGCATGGTAATCAAACACAAACAATGAAAAGGGTTTCTGTAAGTAAATTAAGCTGAGCATGCTGGCAGCATACAATACTATGAAGTATTGTCAAAGTCTGGACAAAAATTGGCCCAGATGGCAGCAAAACCAAAATATTGATGAGAGGGAAGACTGTCTCCCAAATAGGGATCTGAATTTCTCTACAGAAATAACTATAATTGCTCAGTGGAACAAACAACATAAGAGCAGAGTACAAATGGTTTGCATGGATGTCAGAATAAAGTTATCATTATAAAAAAACAGTTAATAATTTAGCTATTCTCCCTACTATAAGCAGTCTCCTCTAATGACTATTCTGCCATCCTATTTAAGCAGAAATGAGGAAAGCTGGCTCTGCCACTACCTTTTGGTAAGGTAGTCTACAGTCTACATCCTCTAGCAATATCAATCTACTCACATATTCATTCACTTATGTGGAGTATGGGAAAGACATGAGAAGGATGGATGTTACTCTGGTATCCCTGCTCCACATCCAAAACACATACATGGCAGTAAGGCCAGCTTCATTCTTCATTTATTCTGAAATGTTTTGTGCTTTACTCTGATGCATTCTCTGATGTATTTCTTCTAGATTTTATTATTATTATTATTATTATTATTAATTTATTATATTCTTCTTTTCAAAGTCCAGTAAAAAAAAAAAAATATTTGATACTCAGGGACATGATTTAGCAGTGGTTTGTTAGAGTTAGGTTGTGGTTGGACTTGATGATCTTTAAGATCTTTTCCAACTGAGCAGTTCAATGATTCTATGATTCTCAGCCTCACTGACTGCAATTACAGAACTGAAATTCACATAAGTTCTTCCTATGATAGTGCTAAACATAGGAAGAACAAAGTCACCATGACTTTCTCTCCTCCTCCAAACGTGACCCACCAAAATACAAAAGGAGTATATAGGCTACACATAGCACAGAAAGGAATCTTAGGAGAAAAATGTAACTAATTATGCAAAAAGAACAGACTTCCTGCACTTCTTAACCAAACAATCCAATCAGAAGGATATAAAATGGCTCTGTTTATCAACAGCTATGCAGAGGGGAAGCAAAAGAAGATATACATGCAAAAAGACAAACATCGCTGCCTTTGCTTTTTTTCCAAATGAACTGTAGACTTGTTTTTAAATCAAGTAGATATCACAACCCAGAGTTAACAAATAGTGCACCCACCCACTCCAAAGACCAAATCAATAATCAGCAGATGAACTTAACTGTTTCAACAAAAAGAAGCTGTTTGAAGAAGTGCTTTATACTCTCCTTGCACTCGTCATTGCTGCAGGCTATTGATCTTTTACAGACAAGCAGCCTCCATTAATACATACTTGTGTTAGCCTGGTAAGCTTGATCCCCCCCCTGTTACCCTCTGCAGGAGGCATCAAGTAACAAGTATTCTTTTAATAATCTAGTTGGACATGCATATAACCATTTCCAGTAGCTAGATCTCCAAAGTCTTTTTTTGTTTTTGTTTTTGTTTTTTTTTCCTTTTTAAATGTGTTATATTTTAACCATGTCTGATTAAACACATAAGAACAAGAAAAAGGTCAGGAATCTCTAAAGCTGGACATCTCAGGTTATCTGGAGTCTGTAACGAATACTATTTCATCTGAGATCATGCTAAGGAACTTGCTACAATTAAGTAGATAGGATGAAACTCCCTCACTTGAAAGCCTTTCATTAATACAATGGGCTAACTTCCAATTCTGGTACCTCACATCTGCTCAAAGTTACACATTAGCACAGACTGCAACACTTTGGAACACTTTGATTTGCTTGTTTCAGATTACACAAGTAATCTACACTTGACATCACTTGCAATGAATCCAGTCCAAAGAACACCTAACTCAATTAACACACGTACCTGCACGTATCATAAAAACTGTACCTAACAGATGAGAACAAAAAGTAAAACTTCTCTCTCCTCACAATCCATAATACTTCATAACAAGCAGGCAACCAAAACCAGAACTTTTTCTTTAACATCCTGATACAAAACAAAGACTGAAAAAAAAAAAAAAAAAAAAAAAGAAAAAAAAAAAAACAACCACAAAAAAGGTTATACGCACGTTTTGATGATCCTGGTTGAAGTCCCATTGTGTTTCAGGAATCCACGTGACTTACCTTTCCAGACCATTTTAAAACCCACAACCTCCTCTCAGCATTTCTAAATCACTAGACAGCCCAGATACTAGGAAGCCGACTACTATCTTGTTCAAGTCACCTCCTCTCCAATCGAACTACCACCTCTGATCTGCATGGTTTCTAACCATCTGCTCTAAAAAGCAACAAGGAATCTCCAATTACAGCCACAGGAACCTGGCTTTCTGACATCTGAGAGCCTGCTTTAAGTCATTAACAACAGCCTAACAAAGGCACTAGAGCATTCTGGAGCTGTGAAGTCCAGCACATTAGAAACAAAACTGCAGTTTCTGTCTTCAAAGATTTCCATGTCACATACTTAAATGCAGTCCAATACATTCCAGAAAAGCACTTACTTGTTTTACACCACTGTTTTTTAAAGTGTTATGCTTAGCAAGACTAAACTGAACTCTCTGAACAAAAGAGGTTTGGGAATGGAGACCTGGATGTCAGAGGGTTTCCAGATCCCCTCACATACCTCTTATTCCCCTCTCCCTCCACCTCCCCAAAAAGCAATCAAAACAAAAATGCAGAAAATCAGAGTCACATCCTGTTGCTCTGATACTGTTTCAGTTAGACCAAACTGAGTCATTCCAGATTCCAAATCAATCCAAAAACAGATCTGACACTGGAGCCTCTAGATCTGTGTCTGTAGTACCCTTCTTACACAGCCAGTGCTGCAGCACAGAGCAGCCTTTTCAATACTCGCTTGAGACAACTATACTTGCAGAAAGGGGAGAGCAATTCAGGTAACATTCCAATTGATGAAAGACTCACAGAAATGCAGGCTTTCCGGCCTTCAGCAGGAACAGACTGTGAACATTTGTTAAGCAGTTTGTCATTTTTGTCATCAATTTAGCCATATCTCAAACTCCCAGGAGGAGGGATACAGGTATGACACTGCACTAATATCACACACCTTACTGTTATTTCTAATAAATTCTCTCATAAATACACATAATTAAATGCAGCAGTTTATGAAATGCAGGTGGTCAGATTTTTCCAGCCTTAAAGTTTCTGCATACAATAAGCCAAATTATTGATTATTGTAATTATGCTCATTACAGCACCGATAGCACGTGCTTCTTTGTTCCATGCTTTGGAGCAGGGAAGGAAATGGGATCTAGCTATCTGCTTAACAGAAGTGGAGAAAAAACAGAGCTTAAGTGATCTGCTTCCTGCTTCCAGAAGCAAATGTCCTATCAGGATGAACAGACAAACATTTGAGGGCCAAAAGAGGGCTACAGGGTTTTGTTTAACTGTTTTAGCAAGTTTATCTTAGAAGTCATTGGCCAATAACATAACATCCAATGTTTTGGGAAGAATAAAAGGAAGTTTCTAGCAACCAATTCCTAAACATTCATCTTTACATACAGAAAATCCAGAACAGTGTGAAGCAGTTTGATACCCATGTCATTTCTCTGCCAGAAAAGCTTGAATGAAAACATCAAAGCATAACTCAATATACAAGATACAGATATTTTGTACCTATGTTAATAGTATACATAGTACACACAAGCCATTCTTTGTTTCTCTAAACTAAGAATTCAATTAACATCAATTACCATCACTGATCTGGATGTCAAAGGCAAAAAACAACCACCTCCAAAACACACACATAAAGTATATACTTCCACATTTTCATTTTAGCAGGGAAAAAATAACTTGCTGCATGCTTCAAGAAACCTATCAAGAAATAAAATTCGGATTTACCATTGGAAAGGCTTTATTTCCACTGTAAGTAAAACTAATTGTGTATTCTCTATGCTCTAATCTATCAGGACTCGCTGTTCTCTGTAATCCAATGGAAAAAAAAATGACTTACGGTCATTACACTGGCTCCCAGAATATGAAGTCATGGAGCAATCACAGGTGAAGCCTTCCCACTGCTGATTACAGATACCCTGATTTGCACAGGAATCTTCCTGGCAGGTAGTGCTTGGTCCTGAAGAAGGGATGACAAGAACAGAGTGAAACAAAGTTGAGAAAATAAGTTTAGTGAGGCCCATAATTTCAATCCATCACTACCACCAACATTCTCATGCAGTACATGAAAAGTACTAATGAAACAGTTTTCCATTCTTAAACACATAACAAACATTAGTAAAAGAGCACACAGACAATTGCACACTGCACAACAAAACAGCAAACTGTAACACACAAGAAGGAAGAAAAGTGAACAGCAACATATTCCCCGTTAGGCAGGCCTAACTTCTATGTTCTGTGCTCACACAAAGCAATATATAATGAAATATGATAATGTGCAAGGGTAACTGAACAACGCCTTATCCTATCCAAAGAATTATTCTGTAGGTTCCTCGGGAAATGTAATGTTATAAAACAAAATCAACCAACTCCATGGTGACATGGAGACTTCTCTTTCTATATTGGACACCTTTCCATCATAGCCTTTGGGAGATGCAGCCGTCACTAACAGAACAGTCTTCCATTGTCTCTGATTTGGAGCTAACCCTTGATATCTTAACTCAGATAAAATTTCAAAGGCACAACCAAGATAACAGCAAAAAGTATGTTCTTCATATCAGAGGGACTCTGAATGACAATTTGTCATCCGCAAGTAGATAGCCAGCTCTTGAAGCTGCATTATTCCACTATATGTTATACTGCTAAAAAAAAAAAAATAAAATAAATAAAGAAGAATTCTTAAGTATAAAAGTGCAGATAACAAGAGCAGGCAACAAAACCCCTGAGAAAAAAAGATCCACCTATTGAAAAGACACAGCAGTAGACACAGTAACAGCTTGTTACCACGCCTGAAGAAAGTTGTGCAGAATTATTCAATACTTCTCCCCTCCACACACCTATTTTTCCCACCCAAGTCATCTGCAGCTGTATGAACCCCAGTAGTCTCACTGGCACAGAATGAGGGGAACAGATCACCTCTAGGTTTACAATAGTGCTGACAGACTGTAGGGCACAGGCTGGCAGATACATGCATGTACTCACTTCTCCCTTGCCTTTAGACTTATAAAAGTCGCAGATACAACCAGACACACAGATACACATCAGATTGGGGTCTGATGCTCACTTTATAGAATCATAGAATCACCAAGGTTGGAAAAGACCTAGAAGATCATCCAGTCCAACCATTCACCTATTACCAATAGCTCCCACTAAAACATGTCCCTCAGTACAACATCCAATCTTTCCTTGAACACCCCCAGGGTCGGTGATTCCAGTACCTCCCTGGGCAGTCCATTCCAGTGCCTGACCACCCTTTCTGAAAAGTAATACTTCCTAATGTAAACTTTAAACTTATTCAGATTCGAGAAAAAGAACAAAATATAAGAATCTGAAATATTAGTTATCATTTTATTTAAGATTTGAGTTTTCTGAGGATAAGAACTCATTGAAGAAGAGCAGAAGAGCATTTTCAATGATAATTTTTCTTCTCTTTTTCTGCACTTATCTGAAAACACTTTGATCAGTAACTGCAGTTGATAATGGGCATAATCAGACTGGAGATATCTCCCCCATCCAGGTGCCACAAGAGAAATACTAGAAATCACAGAGTAAGCTTGCATAAAGCCTTAGTAACTGTGGCTGGAGGTGCTGTCAGACCAGAAAGCCGAAGCACATGAATTATGCCCACAAACAGTTTCTGTATCGCATTTTACAGAAAGCAACTGTGAAGATGAAGCTGTTTTTAAAAGAGCAAGAGGAAAAATACCATCCATAAGCACCATTTGATGAGGAATTTTGGAAGGCTAACAATAAAAGAAAGCTTGAAGTCAGATCTGCTGTTGTGACGGCACAGTACAGATCAGTATTATGCTTCGCCTCACTTCTCAGTACTACAGGCTATTTGCATGGCAAAAGCATCTTTGTCTCAGAGAGTTCAGCTATTCCTGCCGCTTACAGTCCTTGGTTGGTGTCATAATCCCCCATCTGCAGCAACAGAATTTTGTTCAGAGCAACTAACAGGGATGTCACAGGGAATTAGGATTTTGGATTAAGGAGCAAAAGTGACAGAAGCACAGGAAGGCTTATAAAATGAAGACTATTACCGCGCACATGCCCTTTAGTGCTAATTAACGAGGAAAGGAAGACAAACTGTAGCAACAGAATCGGTTCTAAAACACCAATGCCATCAGAGTTCAAGCCTATTTTTATTATCTTTCCTTTGGTAACACTTTCAACATTCTAGAATTACTTATAAAGCAAAGTTGCAAATTGAGCTTTTGCATAATGCTGGATATATCCCATAAGTCACACTACACAGTTAATTAACTAATGCATACTGACTTATATTTTCTCCTTGAATTTGCAACATTCTGACAAAACCTGCTAATTCCCCTGACTGCATTTTATTCCAAGTATTGTTTATATTATCTGTTTGGAGCTGGGCTTGACATAGTCTCTTAATCCACTTTCTAATGGGCATATGGAATGTGCGGGTAGCACATAGAGAATAAGAACGGAAAACTCTCCAGTACAGAAAAGCAACCCTGCTAGCAGAAGTGCGACCTGTTCTGTCTCCTCCTCTCCAGTATAAACCTACCAGCAGAGGCAGAGCATTGGCAACACATAATGGCAAAGCAGAATTCCACAGACATGTCATTTAATCATTATTTCTTCATCTTTAATTCCTACTGAAACAGCTCAGGACCTGATAATGTGCAGATTTTCTTGGGAAAGTGTTCAAAATACTACTTTTCTTCCAAGTTACGTAGCTAGATTTATGGTTTATAAGTTTTTGCTACTAAGCATTTTAAGAAATTCACCTTAGAAAAGTACGGTAGCCAAATTGCTCTTGTATATTCTGTTGGGAAAAATTATTTTGTCTCTCTAGTTCTTTCTGGCACTTTCAGCTGTATAGTTGGTTTCTCTTGCTGAAGCTAAAAAATACTGAGTTCTACTGCTGTGCACCACTACAACTGACACATTTCAAACATATTTCCAACAGGCAGGCACTCCTGCCTTGCAAGAGGAGTCATTCCTGCTGTGTCATTTATAAACTCTTCGCAGTGAAAGGAACTTGAGGAACAAAAAGATACATTATTGCATTTATCATTCTTTCAAGTTACATAAGGAATTCAATTTCTTTACAAAACACCTGCAGGATTATAACACAAATACCTCATACTTTGATCATGACTAGCAATAGGTTTTAAGCTAAAGCAAACCATTCTAGGACATACACATAAAACCTTCCTTCTTACACTAAAAATTCATTCCCACTAGAAAGAAACATTTGTGTTCATGTTATTTCTTCAGTAAGAAGATCTGCAATAGGCAAGGTTCAATGGTACTACGAGTCCATTTTCATTTTCTGAGTCTCTAAATTGTCTACAGCTCTCACCTCTTTCATTTATCATCAAAGAGGTTAGAAAGACATATGAAAGTGACACATGTACAACATCTTCACTGTCTTTGCAGAAGGTATTTCTTTGTCTTATGGTTCATAACATGTAAACACCACAAAGGCCTAAAATCTCTATCACTAACAGCTAGACATTATGATGGGAAATTCATACCCATGTTAAATCTTTAATCTTCTCTTAACAGCACTCTTCTCTCCCCTGTTTTGTAATGTTATGAGATGTTATGAATTTAATATATGGACTCAGAAATAACCTAAAAGCCAGCACTGTAGAATTCTTGGAAAACACAGCCATTCACACAGTGCCTTAATCAAATTTGAACTCTCCATTTATTTGATGCCATGTCCTCCTTTTCCACAAATGTAACTGGTCTAAAAATTTCAAGGGGCACTTAGATGGGATAACAAATATGTAGGTATCCCAATGAAAGCACATCTACCCCATGATGACAGAAGAAGGGAATCAGCAGAATTAATGGGCATGCACAAAGGGTGGATTTACAAGTTGAAACTTGGTACCTGCCTATCTTGCTTTCTCCTGTTGTCACTCTGGCACTTTCCCTCTCTAAGCAACTTAGAAGGTATTGAAAAAGCGCTCACACTTGCTAGTTGTCATGGTTTTATGATTTTTGTTATTGTTATTCCAATATATACCATATATATATATATACCATAACATCATGTAAAGCACTGGGAGTTAAAGAATTAATGCTCCACTGCCATGAACCACTGATTTTCCACCTGGATCTCAGAAGAAAAGAATTACATACCCCACAAGATTTTGCATTCAGAGGGGAAAGATAAAGCTGGCAAGTCATCAGACTCACTCTCTTGCTGCCTGGCAATGCACAGGTGTGCTCCCCAACCATTTCGCCTTCAATTCAGAGTCAGGCCTTCAGTTTTGGACATGCTCTCTCATTTTATTTATTAGCCTCAATTCCAATTATATTGTATTATACAGTGTTATCTTGCATTTCGATATCGTATTTAGCAAATGAAGTTTCCTCCTCAGATTGTTGCCAATATTCTGCCTAAGCCCAGTTTCCACCTCCCTACCCTTCCCCCCTTTCCCTTTTCAGGATGGTGGGCCTGCTGCTCCCCTGTCACAGGCACAGACAGATCTAGATAATTCCATGACACTGGTGAAGGATGGAAAAAAACAAACAAACAAACACACAACAAAAAGTCATAAAAGGGAGTATGCCTGGATCAAATATGACAGGGGACATGGAAGTAAACAACATTCAAGCATAGAAAATAAAAGCCAAAAGGAAAGACTGAAAGTGCTGTATGTGAACAAGAAAAGTACAGTCAATTGGAAACACAGTTTTCACCACTGCAAATTAAAGCAGTGCAGAAGTCGTGCTATCAGAGCTCGTGGTATGGTGGGTTTTGTATTCTGAATTAGTCAATATTATTTAGCAAAGGTTGGTTTCCTGAAAAGGCAATAATCCACAAAATGTGTTCAAAAGAAGTACTCAGAAGTATTTCCCCTTAGGTGTAAATGTGATCAGGTCTCTTAATTTGAAACGAAGATATTCTTACATAATTAAGGACTGTATACCAAAATGAAATCAAGCAAGAATAAATTTCAATAGCTG